TGCTGACCTGTATTACTTCTAAAGCCAGCTTCTACCACCTCAGGCTAGTTCCTGGCCCCCCAGAGCTGGTGGAAGAACTGAGGACATGGCTGAGCTCTGCCTGGTGGACCTCTGGATGCTGGGTGCAGCAGGGCAGACAGATACACATTCACAGAGTGCAGGTGGCCAGCATCACTCTTGCAATGAAATCATGTTTCTCACATTTTACATTTTACAGAGTAGGACAAAGAACATAATAATAGTTTTTGTTCATTCTAAGTAAACATCTGACAATGTCCAATTCAATGGGCTCTGCCCCCTAAACACAACAGTTCTTCCTTAAATAAAAAATGAATGCAAATATGTGCATATATAGGTAGTGGGGTAGATCTCAATCCACAGTCTTGGCTGTGCAAGAAATAATTGATTTCCTTTACTCTTCTCTCTCAAAGCTTTATTTTACTGCCAAATCACTGCTGTGCTCTGCTCCTATTTCTTCAGACTTAGAAGGCTCTGGTTCCCACAGTTGTCTTCTGGCCACTTTCATCCACCACAGCATACTCTTACCCATGGAGTCCATGCGTCACCCACACAGTTGTGTCACAGGTCTGTTCCAGGATGGGGAAAATATCCTAAATCCCTCATAACCAGGTTTTGGGATACCCAACTTTGGTGGCCTCTCAGGCTGGTGGGCAGACATAAGGAATCATTTTGCTTCTCCCCCTATGTTGGGGCCACAGGTATAACCCTCTCTGGACTCCTTAGGCCCACCACTCACAGGATGGCAGAGTTTCTCCTGTTTTCTGCCATGACTGTTGTACTCTGCTTTCAGATTCTCTCAAAACTGGTTGGGATTCCCTCATTTGCCCTGTCTCGGTGTCAGGGCCAGAGCCTTTCTCAAGAACCTGACAGTGTCCACATTCTCCACTTCTCTGATGTACCACCATAAGAATAGCTTTCCGATCTGACAAGAGGAAGACTTGCTCTAGACTAACTCATCAGGTTAGTCTGCTGGCTTAATAAACATGTCCAGGCTTTTCAAAGTCAAAAGTCAAGAATTTGATCCATTCCTTGAGGCAGTGAAAGCAGAGAGCTCATCTGTTTGAACCAGGCAGGGTAGGGGGTAATAGAATATGCTGATGGGAGAAGCCATGGTTACTATTTCAAATACTGTCCTGTGTATATCATATATATACTTTATATATAAACATAGTTTATGTAAACCTCACTGTAAACATGAAACAGAGAGATATTTTGTACAATCTAACAAGGCCCCAGCACAGTCAGCCTGTCAGGGCAGAAACAAAGGCTGCTGAGAGTGAATCTGCCTTCTAGGCCATGAAGCTGCCCCCTCAGTGTGCACTGGGAACTTAGCTGGCCGGCCGTGGACACTGGGGGTACCAAGGGGAGAATATTGCAGGTCCCTGCCCTCAGGAGTCCTCAGTCTGGAAGGAGGCAGATAATACTGAATGAACTACCCATAGTAGATGATCATCTGTAGCATAAGTGTTGCTTGTTGCCAAAACTTATACAAGTGGGGAGAAACCTGAACAAGGATAGATATTTTGAACTGGCTTTGAATTATAGGCACACAAATGTAGACACCTTTGAGGGAAAGCTGCCTCATACCTATAGCCATGGGACTAATACCTGGGATCTTTACTAACTGCAGCTGCAGCTCCCTAGTGGTAGAGAGGTCCCAGCAGGAACATCTTGTATACCCATTCAAAAAGCCTGACCCTCATACAAGTCATCTACAGAAACAAGACATCTCCAAGCGGCGAGCTTAGAGAATGCTATGCTGTAGCCCAAGGCTGGGCCCACTCTACCCCAGAGTCCAGGAGGGGACAGTTTAGCAGCTAGAAGGAAGTAGAAGTGTGTTCCAGGAATTCCTGGGGGGCCTGGCCTGGTCTCTGGAAACATTATAGCTGCACAACCGTGGTTAACTCTGCCCCTCCAAGACTGCTTCCCTCTGAACCCTCTTCCTCAGGCCCATAGTCTTCCCTCCTTCAGGCCTCCCACCCTGCTGGCTGGATCCTGACCCTTCCCCTCCAACCTGCCTTTTCTGCTGTTATTCTAACCATATCTCTCTCCTGCCTTTCACTACCTCCCAGATTTTAGAAAAAAATCCTAAATACTTTAGATTAATACACAGTCCTCTGATGACTCGGCTCCCACCTACCTCTGTACTGTCCTCTCCCTGCACTCCGAGGCTCAATCCAGCCCCAGTCCTTCCTGCCAACCCTCCAATTCTGGCCTTGGCACAAGCTGTTTCCTCTGCCTGACCAGTATCCAGTTCTTTGCCTAACTGGTTCTAGCTCATTTTCTAGATCAAGTTTGAGAATCCTGCCATCCAAGAAGCCTCCCCAGGTCCTCCAGGTGAGAACTCACAGCACTTATTCTACCTTAACTGTCCCTCTAAGGAACTTTATTCATCACCACATCCTCAGTGCCCAACAGCATCTGATGCATAATGTGCTCAAATGCTTTAGAGAAAGAGAGTGGGAGGGAGAGAGCAAGGAACATTATATTACTTGTCCCTTTTTCAACTATATGGAGCCTTCCTCTGCAGCAAGTGCTGCTGACTTCATCAGTACCTCAACTAGACAGCATCTGCACATATTCAGACTCAATCCCAGCCCCTCCCTACTCCCTCCCACCACCCACTTCCATGATTCTTATATTGGGGTTGTGGGCCCTAGAAGTGTATAAGGTATATCGAATGTGTACAAAGAGGATCATGCACTCTATTGTAATTTTTTTCTGAATAAGTCTTTATTTTGCCACCATTTTTTCTTTACTTTTAATTCTGAAATAATGGCAAATTCATAGAAAGTTGCAAGATAGTATAGAGAGATGCCATGTACCCTCCACACTGTTTCCCCCAATGGTAACATCTTGTATAACTATAATACAATATCAAACGAGGAATTTAAATTGGTACAACATATGTGTATAGCTCTCTGTCGTTTTATCACATGTGTAGATTCATATTAACTACCACCATGGTCAAGATACAGAACTATCCCAGCCTCACAAAGAACTCCCCGGTGCTACTCTTTCACAGTCACATCTCCCCTGCCAACACCATCACCATTCTTCAATGCTGGCAACTACTAATATGGTCTCCATTTACATAATTTTGCCATTTCCAGGATGTCATATACATAGAATCATAGAGTATGTCATGTTTTGAGATTAGCTTTTTCCTCAGTATTTTCAGTGCCCTAGAAATTCATCCCAGCTGTTGCATCAATCAACAGTTCATTCCTCGGTGTTACTGAGCAGTGTTCATGGCATGCATGGATGTTCTACACTTTGCTTAACTATTCACCTATTCAAGGGTATTTTGGTTGACTCCAGTTTTTGACTATTACAAATAAAATTGCTATGAGCAATTATGCACACGTTTTTGTTTCAATGTAAGTTTTTATTTATAAGATACGTTTTGTTTTTTTAAGAAACTGCCAAATGATTTTCCAGAGTGTCTGTGCCATTTTATATTCCCACCAGCAAAGTATGAGAGACCCAGGCTTTCCACATCCTTACTAGCATTTGGTGTTGTTATTATTTTTCATTTCACCTTTTCTAATAGGTGTATAGTTGTGCCTCACCATGGTCTTCATTTGCATTTCCCTAATGGCTTCCGATGTTGAGCATCTTTTCTGTGCTTATTTTCCATCTATATAGCCTATTCAGTGAGAGATTTCTTCTTGTCTTTTACATAGTTTCTAATTGGATTGCTTCTTTTTTCACTGTTGAGTTTTAAGAGCTCTTTATATTTTAGATAATACTCCTTTGTTGGAAAGTGGTTTGCAAATGTTTTCTCACAGTCTGTAGCTTGCCTTTTCATCCATTTAACAGGGTCTTTTGCAGAACAAAGACTTTTCATTTTGAAGTCCAATATATTCATTTTTTTTCTTTTAGAGATCTCGCTTTTGGTGTCATGTTTAAGAACTCTTCATCAAACCCTAGATCCCAAAGATTTTTCTCTATTTGCCTATATTATTTTCCTAAAAA